TTTTATTAGGCTTTTACTAACACTTTACTATAAATATTATAGGCGTACTTTATACGCTTTTCTTTTATTATTCTTACTACTATACTAAGCTTATTAAGCTATTTAGCTAGTAAATTTATTATAATACCCTTATATATATTATACGTATCTAGCTCTAGTTAGCTAATTTCTCTAGACTAAAGAAATAGTTATTCTAAACTAAGTCTTGTCTTTACGCAGCTAACTTACTTAAAGAATACGTATTTCTTTAGGCTAGATTACCTATCTCTACACTATAGATAGTTAAGCTGTTTTTCTTATAATCTTTCCTACCTAAACAGTGCCTTTATAATAGTTATAAGCCTAGCTTATACTACACCCTTAAATAATTATATCTAGAGCACCTATAGGCTAGATACCTCTCTCTTAAATAAACTATCTCTTTATTAGCCCTTTTATAATAACTATATTAGTTAATAGCACTTAAAAGCTAAAGATATAGGCTAACTAGCTTATATAGTATATAACCTTATATATTAAGGTAGTAATAGGTTATATCTAAAAATATCTTAATCTAGATAGCTTAACTATTAATAAAAATAGTAATCCTTACCTTAGTAAGGTTCTAAATACTACTTATATTTATACTATTAATAAATTTATTACTATTAGTAATATATTATAAGTATAATATAAGTTACTACTAGTAATAACTAATCTTAATATAAAGCTTACTTATTAATTATATCTTTTAAATAAAACTACACTAAAGACTATTTATAAGTAATAAGAGAAGGCGTTTAACTCCCTTAAGTCTTAAGTTAACTTATTAGTAGTTAAGACCTTACTTTTACTAGCTTAAATAAAAGTACTTAAATAAAAGGATACCTCTTTTTACTTAATAATATAAATTCTTAGATACTAAAATACGCTTAGTAACTTTACTAACTAGACGCTTATTTAAGAAGAATACCTTATAGTTATAGACTAGATAGAAGCTAGTATTAATCCTAACACCTAGCTTACTAAATAGTAAAATATATATATATATACTAAGATCCTTAATATACCTAAAGTTAAAGGCACACTTACCTCTAGGCTATTCCTTAAAGTAGTATTATATAGGATTACCCCTTTAGGTAACTTATAAGCTCTTAGAGATTATCTAAAATAAATTATAGAGGTTCTATATTCAGAATCCTAATTACTATACTACTGTCCTTATAGGCATACTTAAAGAAGACTTATTTACTATAAAATATAAGGGGAAGAGGTATAGTATATATATAACCCTAGTAGGTTACCTTATAAGGAGGTTAGTAGATAAATTACCTTACTTTAAACCTAAGCCTTAAGGTAATTTATATATATATAGTTATACCTACTTATAGACTATTCTAGAATACTTATATATTAAAAAAGCCCTTATAAGTAACTTTAAAAAGCCTACCTTAGTCCTATTTATTCTTATATAATAAATTTATAATTAAATTAATAGCCTAAAAAGTCTAAACGTATAACTTAAACTTATTTAGAAGGGGTAAGTTAAAGTAAGACCTTTATTTAAGAAGTATATCCCTTAGATAAATTACTTATAGACTAGTAAATAGTTATAAAAAGGCAAGAAGAATAAAAAAGGGGGAAAAAATCTTTTATTTAAAGTTATTACTTATATTATTAACCTTACCTTATTATAATTACCCCTAACTAAAGTTACTTAAGAACTATAATCTTATAGTGTTTTTATTATACTTTTTTTAGGCTTATATATCTTTTTATATAGTACTATATTAAATAACTATAGCGCTATATATTTAGTAAATAATATTTCTTTACTAGAACTTAGTATTATTAAGATACTAAAAAAAAGTATATAATAGGTTAATTTAGGCACTACTTTATACCTTATACTTATAGATATAGTATTTATAGAAGACTTTTATATAAATATTATCTTAAAAGCCTTACTCTAAAAAATAAGTATTTAGTATTTTAGTCTAGACTACACTTTATAATATAGTAGATATAAGGAGAGCTTTATAGTTAAGTAACTTACTTAAGTAGCTAATATTTCTTTTCTTTAATATTAGCCTTTCTTTACTTATCCTATTTCTAGATAAATTCCTATAAGTAATATAGCTATAGTTTATATTATTATAGTAATACTACTAGGCCTTAGCACTCCTAAATAACTATCTTACTAAGATTAACTAATATAAAATAACTTAGCCTAGCTTTAGTACCTTTAGGGTAGATATCTTAACACTAAAGTGCTTAAGTATCTTATTACTAAGGTAAGAGGCGTTAAGGTTAAGGCTTTTAATAGTCTTAACTATATTTACTACTAGATAACCTATATAAAGAAGGTTATTTTATAATACTAATTAAAGTAATAAGTAATTTAACTATATTATAAGATTACTTAAGATCTTTTTAACTACCTTAATAGCTTTAATAATAGTGTCTAACTAATAGTTATTAAAAGTAAGTTTATAGATAAGTTATTTAGCTTCTTATATATATTAAAAACCTATAAGAGTGTTTTCTAGGTTCTATAAGTATTTAAATTATAAGTCTATTAGTATTAAGGCCTTACCTTATATAAAATACGCTAGGATATAGATTACTTTATAATAGTAATTAATAGTAATACTACCTTCTAAAGTTAGACCTAAGATAAAAGGATTAAGGTTAAGACTATATCTCTACATATAAAGGAGCTAAATAGTAGCGCTAAGAGGGCTAGGTAAGAAGTAATAACCTAAGGTATTAAGATACTCTCTAGGGCTAACTTTCCCCTTAAGCTATAAGTTAAGGCTATAATAGCTAAAATCTACTTTTATAATATTAGCCCCTATAAGTAAAACGCCTAGCTTTTACTAATTAAGAAAAAAAAAATAGTTTAGATAATATTTCTACTAGTAGTAACCTTAGTACTAAGTAAACTTTAGCTAGGACTTATAACCTTAGTAAGAATAGCTTTATATATATAGCTACTAAGTATACCCTCTTTAAAGGGATAAAAAGAGAGATATAAAGAGATAACGCTTTAAGGTAGAACCTAGGGGCTATATTAAGTACCTTATAGGATATATTTAGAATATATATAACTTATACTAAGTGTAAATTCCCTTACTTTAGTAAGTTATTATTATATATAACGTTATATTTAATAAAAGTTAGTTCTATATAAAAGATAACACTAAGTAAGCTATCCTAAGAGAGAAGGCCTATAAGATTATAAATAATATTTAGGACCTATTAACTTTAAATAAGCCTAAGTTTTACGCCTTAAGTATTATAGAAGTAATTAATATAGTACTAATACTATAAGAGGAGCACCTAACTTAGTAGCCTTTACTACTTACTTTTATACTTAGAATAGCTAAACTAAGTAAAAATACGTTTATAAATAATTATTTAGGCTATATTTAGTAAGAAGGGTAGCTATTAACTTCTAAACTAATACCTAAACCTAGAGACGTTTAGGAATAAGCGCTAGAGGTAACGCTTATTATTATAGACTAATTAATAGTAAATAAAGGCTTACCTAAAAATAAGAGAGTTAACTACTAAGATTAGGTAGTTAAAGATAAAATTATTATTTAAATAGATACGCCTCTAAATAAGGAAGGTAAAATAATATATAAGACACTATATTTAAACCTTATATTTACTAGCTACACTTATTTAGGGTAGGATTAGGTAGTATATAACTAAAATAAGCTAAACTATACTACCTTAACCTAATAAAGCTATTACCTATATAGCTTACTACCTAAATTATTAGTAAATAGCTAGTCTAATATAAAGAACACTAGCTTCTTATTAGCTTTTACCTACTTTAGATAAGGCTAAAATAAATTCTTTAATACCTTTATACTAAATAAGTAAAAAGTAATTAATAAGGAGTATATAAGTTACTAGACTATCTATAACTATATCTATATAATAATAATCTAGCTAAAGTACGTCTAGAAAACCTAAAACCTAGCTAAAAAAGAGTATATAAGTAAGTTACTTTTACTACTAAATAATTAAAAAGAGTTTAAATTACTTCCTTTAGTAAGGTATATATTATTTATAAATATAATAGTTACTAAGATTTATAAGCTAGAAGAGATAAGAGCCTAGAAGGTAGTAAACTAAGATAAAGTTACTATAAAACTAATCCTCTTAAAGTAGGTATAAATATATAAGTTAGACTAAAAAGGCTTTCTTAATTAATATAAAGTACGTATATATATAAGAGGGGATATATAAAAAAACACCCTCTTAAATAGATATATACTACTACGCTTATTGTTGTGAGGGGGCCTGTGTGCTGGGAGGTCATGTGACCTCCTGGGCCCCTTACCTTTATCCAGCCTCTGCCTATAGCCTCGAGACGAGGATTTTCCTCCTGACCACTACACACCACTACAGATCGGCAATATCACTATTTGCCTCACTTTGTTGCTCTTGTGCTCTCACAGGTCATGAGCCTAGGGCTAATATTAATTTTCTTTAATTGATTGGTTGCCTCTACCTATTTTGTCGATACGTAATTGAAAATCTGCCTGCTAAAGCAGTAATTAATTGTTTAACGTTAATTTAATAATAAGGATCCTTTGCTAGATAACCTTGCTATTAATAACTTGTAAAAATCTGCCTACTAAAGTAGCAGTCGCTTAACCTTACTTTACTTGCCGTTTTTACTGCGGCCTATGCTAAGAATCCTTCACTGGATACTCTTGCCTATTATTAACTTGTAAAAATCTGCCTACTATTTATTAAGAGCCTTATCGCTATTATAAGAATTAACCCTATTAACTGCCTTCTTTAGCAGTTATTACTAGTAGACCTCTTATATAAGAATCCTCCTTATTACTATAGCTAGTAACTACCTAACTGTTACCTTACTTAAAGCTATACTTTACACCTATAACGTTAAAAGTGCTTATGACGTCACTCTATAGCTGGCAGGTGAGTATCTTGTTAAAAAGATCCTTGCCTTTAGTTGGCAAGATGATGGCAATCTATACACCCTTGTGAGAGCTCTGGAGCGATGGATCCCTTAGGGTGACATTAATAAAGCCGCCACAAGCCACGACGTTGACGAAGCCGTTATAAGCCACGACGTTAACGAAGCCGCTATGAGCCACGACGTTGATAAAGCCGTTATAAGCCACGATGTTAACGAAGCTGCTACAAGCCATGACGTTAATGAAGCCGTCACGAGTTACACTAAAGCCATTATAAGCCCTAACGTTAACAAAGCTATTATAAGTTTTAGCTAAGCTATCACAAGCCTTTATACTATTTACTAAGTTATAATTAGCACTATTATCACTCTCTATAACAACATTACTACCCCTCTGCCTTAGGGCTATTACACCTCTATTTATCACCTCGCTGGATACAGAGGATATGGTTGAAGAGCCATACGGGCCATCACGGAGGATATATATTGCGGAGGATACACATTTGGAGGATTCACGTCACGTAGGGATTTCGGCGTACGGATCAATTGTCGCCAGACCAATGGGACAATTGCCGGCGTATTGCTGAAGTTGTTGAATACTTTGAAAACTCCTCGGATTTGGAGGATTTGAGATTGGGCTGTTATTTTGCCCCTATGTACGATATTCATTAAGTTAGCAGAGCCTGAGGGGGAGTGTTATGAGGGGGCCCGTGTGCTGGGAGGTCACGTGACCTCCTGGGCCCCTTACCTTTATCTAGCCTCTGCCTATAGCCTTAAGAGGAGGATTTTCCTCCTGACTACCACACACCACTACAGATCGGTAATATCACTATTTGCCTCACTTCGTTACTCTTGTGCTCTTACACTTATAGTATAAACTTTTTAGATAATAATAGCTATTATAGCTAAATTTAACCTTAAAATCTATTAATTTAATATTATTAATATATTTCTTAATATAAAAAGAGGGCTAGGGGAGCCTTTAATTATATACTATCTTCTTAATAAGTTTAAGATACCTAAGAAGGTAGTTTAGCTAAAGCGCACTCTCTATAGCTTATAAGATATGCCCCTCCTTTAGTATAAGGAGTTCTTAAATACCTTATATTATCTTAGGATAGCTATAGTAGCTAAAGACCCCTACCTATTCTAGACGCTAGATAGAAAGGTCCTAGTTATTTTCTATATAAATAATATGCTTATATTATTTTATAAATTAAATAAGGCTAAGGCCTAGCTATATAGTATTTAGAAATATAAATCCTATATAACTACTTAAGGCAGAAGATCTATTTAGCTTATAATTAATATATTAAGTAAGTAGCTAAGAAATTTAACCTAGTTAATATAATAGTACTACTAATCTTAGTCTTAACTATAACGTTTAAGAAGAATAGATCTTAAGTAATACTAAGTAAGGTAAAGTGTTTCTAGAAGAAGATTAGCTTAATCCTCTATATAGCTATTATAATATAACCTAACGTTATATACGCCTACGCCCTACTATTATACTTCCTTTTAAATTTATTATAATAGTATAATTAGGCTACTAACTAAGTTATCTAATACCTTTACTACACTAAATATCTCTTAATTTATTATAGCACCTTAGGGGGTACCTAGGCCTTAGTAATTATAAGTAACGCCTTATTTATAGATAATAAAGAAATATAAAGATTATCCTAAAGATATATTATCTTACTTTTTAGTAGGCTAGTCTAGTAAAAGGCTGCTTAGTAAAGTATAGTTATAACGTTAACTATAGAGGTAAAGGTTCTTAGCCTTAAGCTTATAGTAAAAAAGGTAATAGTAATAAAGCGACTTTTTTATAACGTATAGTTAGAGCTTAGTAACATATAAAAGATTAATTATAATAATACTTAAATAATTTACTTAGTAATTAGTAGAAAAAGACGTATTTTAACTTACCTATAGCAAAGACTGAAGCTCACTATGAGACCTCTGCACATTCAGTGAAAGCTCATAGGAATGATGACCGGGACCCGCGTAAATAGAACTCATTTGAGGGCAATGTGTACGATCGAACGATCAAGATCAGGCCAATGAATGACGACCTCATGGTCATATGACCCCTGGGTCTTAAATCTGCTCCTACATCCGACGGATAGTCGGATACTTATTAAGATTAATTCATCCTTAAAGCGTAAATTGAAATTGTAGGAAGTCCTGCGCTAGGAACGTGCACTGTCAGTAGCTTTAACCTATCCCAGCGACGCCCCCTTCAGCGGCTACCCGCAGAGCTTTTATTGCTGAACTTTCACTGTAACGAAGGTTTTCGTTATAAAGCGCGCGGCCCTATCCGGTCATCCATTGCGAGGGGGTATTACTAAATACACCTATAATAACTAATATATTTTTACTAAATCTACTATTAAAAGGTCTAAGGACTTTTTAAGAGGTAAGTAGTACTAATACTACTTTATTAATCTTTTATATACTAATATAAAGGTCCCCCTAAAGAAAGGTCCCCTTAAATATAATATAGCTATATAACTTAGTAGTTATATAACTAAGGACCTAAGTATAAGTTAGTAGCTAACTATAATAAGTTAGTATATAAGAATATATACTAGAAGTAATATTACTACGCTTTATAGCTAGAAACTCCCTTATTAAGTAATAAAGCTTTAATCCCTTATATATAATAATATATAGTACCTTACTTAAGGTATAATATTAATATTTATAAGATTAGCTCCTAGCTACTAGCTTATACTACCTTAAGGAGTTATTATAAAGTGTACTTATAATACACCTTATATACTTAACCCTCTTTAAGGTAGGCTTAGGGGTCTTAGCCTAACTACCTCCCTTAGCCTCCTCCTCCTCTTTTACCTTAAAGGCAGCTTATATTATATAAATAAGTTAGTAATATATTACCTAATAAGTAGTAAATAGTAATATATATTTAGCGTTATACTAAAAGAACTCTTATAGTATAGCCTAGCCTCTAGCTATAGCTATAGCTAGGGTATAAGGGGAGAGAGAGGTATTAGTATTAGAGGCTTATAAGCTATCCCCCTCTTTATTTTTCCTTTTTATACTTATAATAAGGTTATTAAAGACCTTATTACCTTTATAGCCTTTATCTTAGTTATACTAGTGTTAAACGTTAGTATTACTTAGTAATATAAAGATAAGATAATAGTAAACTACTTATATTAGAGGGAGGGGACTATAGGCTAGTTATCTAGAGTATTAGAGGGGCTACTACTCCCCTTTACTACCTTATATTACTTTATGTAATACCTAAGCGCTACTATATATACTATAGTAGTATAAGTATATATAGCCTCTTTATTTCTTTTAGTAAGTATTTATTTAAAATAATTAGTATTATAAATTACTTAGCTTATAATAAGTAATTATAGTAAGTTATAACTATAAGATAAAGTAAAAAAAGATATAATAATATATATAGTTATTATTATTAATAATAAAAAAAAAAGAAAAAAAAGCCTAACCTTTACTTAGTAAAAAGTTAAATAATAATAAGGTAAAAAGATAGTTTAATAGTTATTTCTTAGCTAATTAAAAGCTACTATTTTACTTAATAATTTATATAGCTAGAGGTATAAAAATAAAGATAAATATAGTAATTTATTCCCTTTAATAAAGGCTTATATAGTATTTTCTTTATATAGTAGTTACCTCTTATAACTAGGCTTTATAAAGCGCTATACGCACTTTACTTTATTTACTTAATAGTAATCTTTTTTATATTTAGTAGTTTTTAGGTATATAATAATCTATAAATAGTTAATTACGCCTAGAGGGGTATATTATAATACCCTTATATATATTACGTGTATCTAGCTCTAGTTAGCTAATTTCTTTAGACTAAAGAAATAGTTATTCTAAACTAAGTCTTGTCTCTACGTAGCTAACCTACTTAAAGAATATGTATTTCTTTAGGCTAGATTACCTATCTCTACACTATAGATAGTTAAGCCGTTTTCCTTATAATCTTTCCTACCTAAACAGTACCTTTATAATAAAATTACTAAAGCATAGTTAACCCCGAGCCCTTGTGGCCAAATACTAGGCGGTGAGATAGCGTAACACCAATGTTTCGTTCACACCCGCCGAGGTGTAACCCTTCATCAGCAGAGGTTTATTATGTCCGTGCTGTTTAATTACTAGGTATTTCCGAACTATTGTGGTTATCTAGAAGGTAGCAAAAATCTGACTTGCTCAGGGTACACACTCAATCGCACCGAGGTAAAGCTGAGGCGCGATCTCGAATGAGTAGCGCGCAAATTTCGCCCCCGGAGCTAGAACCATCACAACCCACTAAAGGATAAGTTTAGTGTTCATTGGATGTAGGCTGCTCCCGGAACGTAGTCCATGAAGTC